GGCTGCGTTCGAATTTCGTGAAAATCGGCTTAAAACTGACAGACAAAATGGTCGCCCTTCGATCTCAAATAGCGTAAAAATGTGGTATATTAAGGTTGTGGACCCTATAGAGGTCATAATTTTTATCCGATTTTGTTGAAACTTGAAATGTGAATTTACAACCCAAAGATCTCTGTTCCTTTCGATATTGGCGCATATCGGAACGTAACTTCCTGAATTATGGCCACTGATTGCACGAAAAATCGCGTTTTTAGATTGTGGACCCGATAGAGGTCTTAATTTTTATCCGATTTCAAAAAACGTATTATTATACCACCGTTACACCCTAAGGATGACTGAGTTCGAATTTCGTGAAAATCGGCTTAAAACTGACAGACAAAATGGCCGCCCTTCGTTCTCAAATACCGTATGGTTTATCAAGGTTGTGGACCCTATAGAGGTCATAATTTTTATCCGATTTTGTTGAAACTTGAAATGTGAGTTTATAACCCAAAGATCTCGGTTCCTTTCGATATTCGCGCATATCGGACCATAACTTCCTGAATTATGGCCCCTCATTGTACTAACTTGGTGTAGGTGTTTATTAAGTCAATGCCTTGATGGAGTTCGACGATGAGCATTTTCGGCTTAGGATAAGCAATTTGATTGGTTGATGCTTTGGGACACGATAACTTTAGTTCTAATTAAGTGAGAGTGATGAAACTTGGTGTAAAGTTTCATTACAGCAATACCTTGACTAAGTTCGATAATGAGCATTTTCTGCTCAGGGTAAACAGAGCCATAAGCAATTTGATTGGTCAAGACCTTGGAACACAATAACTCTCCTTCTAATTGAGTTAGTATCTTCAAACTTGGTGTAGGTGTTTATTAGGTCAATGCCTTGATGGAGTTCGAAGATGAGCATTTTCTGCTTAGGGTAAGCATGCAGAGATAACGCCAAAAGTTATCATCCAATTGTGTTAAAATTGATATATGTTGTTTACATTAGTGAGATGAAGAAGCCTATTTAATTTCAATAATTTTCGTTTATTATGTCTAGAGTTATGGCCCCTGTTTCACTTTGTTGAAACATGTGAACGCTCTTATGCCAAAAGTTAACATACGATCTTTGTAAAATTTATATGCAATATTTAAGTTAGTTTATTACGTCTAGTGTTATTGCCCTTGTTTCACTTTATTGAACCTTGTGAACGCTCTAACTCCAAAAGTTATCATCCGATCTTTCTGAAATTTATATGCATTATTTAAATTAGTGAAACAAAGAAGCCTATTGAATTTCAGCAATTTCTGTTGACTACATCTAGAGTTACGGCCCTTGTTTCACTGGACTGCACCTTGTGAACGCTGTTAACGCCAAAAGTTAGCACCCAATCTTTGTGAAATTTATATGCATGATTTAAATTAGTGAAACGAAGAAGCCTATTGAATTTCAGCAATTTCCGTTTATTACGTCTAGAGTTATGGCCCTTGTTTCACTTTATTGAACCTTATGAATGCTCCAACACCAAAAGTTATCACCCAATCTTTGTGAAATTTATATATGCATTATTAAGATTAGTGAAACTAAGAAACCTATTGAATTTCAGCAATTTTCGTTTATTATGTCTAGAGTTATGGCCCTTGTTTCACTTTATTGATCCTTGTGAACGCCCTAACGCCAAAAGTTATGACCCGATCTTTGTGAAATTTATATGCATGATTTAAATTAGTGAAACAAAAAAGCCTATTGAACTTCAGCAATTTACAATAATTACTTCTAGAGTTATTGCCCTTGTTTCACTTTGTTAAACCTTGTTAATGCTCGATTGATGAAAGTTATCATCCGATATGTATGAAATTTGTATGCATCATTTAAATTACTGAAACAGGTCTATTGAATTTCAGCAATTTCTGTCAATAATTTCTAGAGTTATAGCGATTGTGAACGTTTGAATGACAAAAGTGATTATGTGATCTGTATAAAATTTATATGCATTATTTAAATTAGTAAAACGAAAAAGCCTGTCAAATTTCAACAATTTCTGTAGATTACTTCCAGAGTTGAGACCCTTGTTTCAGTTTGTAGAACCTTGTAAACCCTCAAACGACAAAATTTATAATCTGATCTGTATGAAACTGTCTTGTAAAGGCCCCCAATTACCTACAAAGGAATAAATATGCGACAACCGTTGTCGACCGCTCGAACAATTTAGCTGCTGTGGGCGTATGTTTTGTTGCCTGGCAACCTATCTTTTGAAGAATTAATCACTTTTATCATGGACCTTATATTATATTATAAGGTCAATATTTTCATCCATTTCTTGTCCACATTTAAGAAATCAGAAGCAATGTCATTCATAAATCAAATTAAGTCTGTTTCTCTAATCTACACGTAAGTTATAAGTTACATGTAAATATTTAAGAAGAAATTTTCTTTACGGTACTTTTTATACGCCTACATGGAAATGTGGTCCTATATTGCCATCGCACCCGTCCGTCAGTCCGTCTGTCCATCGTCCACAATTTCTTGTGAACACTCTACAGACTATATTTATCATCTGATTGTTTTGAAATTGATATATGTTGTTTGCATTAGTGAGATGAAGAATCCTATTGAATTTCAATAACTTCCGTTAATTTCTTCTGGAGTTATGGCCATTGTTTCACTTTGTTGCACCTTGTGAACGCTCTAACGACAAAAGTTATCAACCGATCTGTATGAAATTTATATGCATCATTTAAATTAGTAAAACAATTAAGCCTATTGAATTTCAGCAATTTCCGTTAATTACATCTAGAGTTATGGCCCTTGTTTCACTTTGTTGAATATTGTGAACACTCTAATGACAACAGTTACCATCCGATCTGTTTGAAATTGATATGCATCATTTAAATTAGTGAAATGAAGAACCCTATTGAATTTCAGCAATTTCCGTTAATTATGCCATGAGTTACGGCCCTTGTTTCACTTTGTTGTACCTTGTGAATGCTCTAACAACAAAAGTTATATCCGATCTGTATGAAATTTATATGCATCATTTGAATTAGTAAAACAAAGAAGCCTATTGAATTTCAGCAATTTCCGTTAATTACATCGAGATTTATGGCCCTTGTTTCACTTTTTGAACGCTCCAATGACAACAGTTATCATCCGATCTGTTTGAAATTGATATCATTATCCATCATTTTAATTAGTGAAACGAAGAAGCCTATTGAATTTCAGCAATTTCCATTAATTATGCCGTTATGGCCCTTGTTTTACTTTGTTGTACCATGTAACTGCTGTAACGACAAAAGTTATTATCCCATCTGTCTGAAATTTATATGTATCGTTTTAAATTAGTAAAACGAACAAGCCTATTGACAGGCATCGATATTTCCGCGCACATGCGCACGGCGTGCGCAGGCACATTTGCTTTAAAAAAAACTTTTTTGCAGGCACATTTTTAAAGATGTAGCCGCGGCACTATTTTTTGCCGCCCAGCACAAAGAAAAAATCGAAGAAAGCCGCCCAGTCGTATTTAAACCCCTTCGTCCTTCTCTGTACACAAACTCGGCGCTCAAAATTTTCCACGGCAATTAAACGGCAAAGCCATGGTAAAACTAAAAGCCGACGTACGCAAACCATGTCTGTCACGGCATAATTTATTTTTGTGTGCTGTAGTAGACCCTATCATCCCAAATTAGTTTAAAGAAAGATGTATTGATATTTTGTTTATTTATACTTAGAATTATTCTACGGTCTTTATATTTGTTAATTGCCGTAAATAGGTCACCCAGACCAATTTACGGCACTCCAATGTTAAAGGTTTGAATGTCGTAATTGTCCAACACGTGCCTTCAAATTTTCAGGATGTTTCTTATTTTATTTCTTACCTGTGTTGACCATGGATTTGCTACGGCCCGAGAGTAGGACTAGGAGGACGATGAGAGCTTTCTCAGTTTCTGATTCTCATTCCACCGTAATAATAATAATATTCGTGAGACGTACAACAACTTTACAAACAAGTCAAATAATACAACGTGTTTTAATTATCAATATCTACCTGTTGTCATAATTCGTTGTACTCAAATAAAACACAAACACCGTTTTAAGAATCTAATTAATTTTAAATCTCAAAGTAATAAAGTAATATTTGTAAAAAAAACCAACAAAACATCAAATACCGAAAGGTCCTCAACTTATCTATTGTAACTTCCATACTCATGCTTGTACATGTAGTTGTGAATAAACTGTTATTATTATTATTATTATTATCTATCCAGAGAAACAGAGTGGGGCGGGACAATTTTATGCTCGGTCGGGTGGTGTCAAAAAGTTTTTAGATCCCTGTATCATTGATGAAAATTAAGTGAATTTGGTAAAATTTGAATATATCAATGGAAATTTGATTTGCACTGAACCAAATACAAAAGGCAGAAGATGCTCTGAAAATACACCAAGAAGGGTTTAATTTTCATAAAAGATCACGCCCCCCTCCCAAAAATTGTTTTGCCTCGCTCCGCTCGCCACATATATTTTTACACCACTCACCAAATCCTGGCTACATCCCTGTGTTTCAGTATTACCCTGCAGGCACATTTTCAAGTGTGTGCGCAGGCACACTCAACTTTTATAGAGCCCTGCCTAAAGAGGTCACAATTTTTATCCGATTTTGTTGAAACTTGAAATGGAAGTTTATAACCCAACGACCTCGGTTCCTTTCGATATTCGCGCATATTGGATCGTAACTTCCTGAATTATGGCTCCTGATTGTACGAAAATATGGTATATCAAGGTTGTGGACCCTATAGAGGTCACAATTTTTATCCGATTTTGTTGAAACTTGAAATGTAAGTTTATAACCCAAAGATCTCGGTTCCTTTCGATATTTGCGCATATCGAATTTTAATTTCCTGAATTAAGGCCCTTGATTGTAGAAAAAATAACTTTCTTTTTAGCTTGTTCTCTATCTATCTCTCGAAAATGTGGGCGTATCCTGCTTGACAGCCGCTGGTTCTGACCTTCTGTCATATTGCAGGATTTAGAAGAAGCTCTGATAGCAGCAACATCACCATGTGACAGTCCTATAATACTTGATCTACTCTGTAGTTTATTAGAAGGAATATATGGCAGAGAGCAATTAACGTAAGTAAATCGGTATTGTGTATATATTTTTCAAACAATTTCTCTTTTCAAAGTTTGATATTATAAATGCATAAATAAATTATCATCTGTATTGCATTTATGGTCATCTGGTTTCCTGTACTGATTTGAAAAAGATTCAAATTACTTTTTATACGCCCCCATTTTCATGTGGACGTATATTGTCGTCGCCCCTGCCCGTCCGTCCGTCCGTCCACAATTCTTTGTGAACGGTCTACAGGTCACAATTTTTATCCGATTTCAATGAAACTTGAAATATAGGTTTATCACCAAAAGATCTTGGTTCCTTTCGATATTGGAATGTATCGGACTGTAACTTCATGGATTATGGCCCCTGATTGTACGAAAAATCACGTTTTTAGCTTGTGAACACTGTTTGGTTTAAACTTGAAATGTATGCTTATAACCCAAAGATCTTGGTTCCTTTCGATATTCGCGCATATCTGAACATAACCTCCTGAATTATGGCCCCTGATTGTACGAAAAATCACGTTTTTAGCTTGTGGACCCTATAGAGGTCATAGTTTTTATCTGATTTAAAAAACGGTATTATTATATCACTGTTACACCCTAAGGACGGCTGAATTCGAATTTCGTGAAAATTGACAGACAAAATGGCCGCCGTTCATTCTCAAATAGCTTAAAAATATGGTATATCAAGGTTGTGGACCCTATAGAGGTCTCAATTTTTATCCGATTTTGTTGAAACTTGAAATGTAAGTTTATAACCCAAAGATCTCGGTTCCTTTTGATATTTGCGCATATCAGAACATAACTTCCTGAATTATGGCCCCGGATTGTACGAAAAATCGCGTTTTTAGCTTGTGGACCCTATAGAGGTCATAATTTTTATCCGATTTAAAAAATCGTATTATTATATCACCGTTACACCCTAAGGACGGCTGAGTTCAAATTTCGTGAAAATCGGCCCAAAACTGACATACAAAATGGCCGCCCCTCGTTCTCAAATAGCATAAAAATAGGTTGTGGACCAGTGATGGAATTTTGCCCGTATATTCCGGACTTGTCCGAATCTTTTTTCCAAACGCCCAAAATTGTCCGACCGGGAATATGCCCAATCGGTCATCAAGACATGGTGAATAATATTCAAAATTCTGAAATTAATAGTTTACTGATTGTATAACTACCACTCAACCCGATTATCGTCGATAATACGCTGGATTGATTAGGTAATTAAGTGATCAACATATTTATCGTTTTATACCGTCTATAAATAACCTACCTTGATTAACTACTTAATCTGCCTTGATTGACCGACTTAATCCTTTGTCGGACAGTTCGTCAATCTAGTCGTAAAAAGAAGTCATTGTTTCCCCTTTGTCGGAATGTTCATCAATCCAATAACTGTGATTATAATTTTAATCCTCATGTTAACCCCGTGGTTTCTGCATTGTCGGACATATTAATCGCATTGATGTGAGCCGACAATATGTATAAACTATAGATGTCACATATTGTAATAGACATCAATAGACAGTCATAACTTTCAACATGCTTCGATTCAATATACATTGTATCCGATAACTTGTCTGTGATATTCCTTTGGTGGAAGCCAAAATTAAATAAAGCTATTTCACACACACACTACCACTCAACCCGATTATCGACGATAATATGCTGGATTGATTAGGTAATTAAGTGATCAACGTATTTATCGTTTTATACCATCTATAAATAACCTACCTTGATTAACTACTTAATCTGCCTTGATTGACCGACTTAATCCTTTGTCGGACAGTTCATCAATCTAGTCGTAAACAGAAGTCATTGTTTCCCCTTTGTCGGAATATTCATCAATCCAATAACTGTGATTATATATAATTTTAATCCTCGTGTTAACCTCGTGGTTTCTGCATTGTCGGACATATTAATCGCATTGATGTGAGCCGACAATATGTATAAACTATAGATGTCACATATTGTAATAGACATCAATAGACAGTCATTATAACTTTCAACATGCTTCGATTCAATATACATTGTATCCGATAACTTGTCTGTGATATTCCTTCGGTGGAAGCCAAAGTTAAATAAAGCTATTTCACACACACGCATGGTTCTAGTAAAGTAACTCGAAATGAAAGTAGTCATCTCGCGAGACACATGGAATTAAGAGATTTAAACGTGCCGAATCTAATACGTGGGGTTTATGTTTTTAAATAAATAAATAAACACGCTAAGAAATGTTGACGACTATGTCGATTGGAATAAGGTTAGTTAATTGTTTTAGTAAAGTAACTCAAAATGAAAGTAGTCATCTCGAGAGACATGTGAAATTAAGAGATTTAAACGTGCCGAATCAACACGCCTGATGTGAGAGAAAAGATTCTATTTTGATGGCATATTGTCGGATTTATGATCATATTTTGAGTGGGGTTTATGTTTTTAGATAAATAAATAAACACGCTAAGAAATGTTGACGACTATGTTGATTGGAATAAGGTTAGTTAATTGTTTTAGACGATAGCGCGTGCTAGAGTCGAATGCAATTATTTAGCTGCAGTTGGTGTCCCTCGCTCATTTTTGAGCGACGTTTACTACGAAATAAATTTCGAGATGTCATATTTTTCCTTTCGTATATAAATCGAAACGGAGTATGAGATGAATGCCGGTCTTTGCTGAAAAATGTATCGAAATATGACCCGAAAAATACGGTAATTTGGGGGGAATTTGAAACAGGTACCGATTGACAGTAGTCGTCACACTTTCATTCTATGGTATTACGATGTCATGTAATTTTGTAAGAATATTATTGACATAAATTTTAATACCGTACGGGAATTAAGCATGAAAAATAACGAGGTGAAGATATTTTTTTATTACGTATAAATTTGAATATTTTGTTGACACGTGATTCTTAATTGTGGTTTGAAAACGTCTGCTTAAATAACCAGTTATGCCCCTTTATTTTCGGGAAAAAAATGTCCAACAAGAAAAATTTTGGAAATCCCATCACTGTTGTGGACCCTATAGAGGTCACAATTTTTATCCGATTTTGTTGAAACTTGAAATGTAAGTTTATAACCCAGAGATCTTGGTTCCTTTCGATATTCGCGCATATCGTACCGTTACTTCCTGAATTATGTCCCCTGATTGTATGAAAAATCAAGTTATTAGCTTGTGGACCCTATAGAGGTCATAATTTTTATCCGATTTAAAAAATCGTATTATTATATCACCGTTACACCATAAGGACGGCTGAGTTCTCAGATAGCGTAAAAATATGGTATATCAAGGTTGTGAACCCTATAGAGGTCACAATTTTTATCCGATTTTGTTGAAACTTGAAATGTAAGTTTATAATCCAAAGATCTTGGTTCCTTTCGATATTTGCGCATATCGAATTGTAATTTCCTGAATTATGACCCTTGATTGTAGGAAAAATCACTTTCTTTTTATCTTGTTCTCTATCCATCTCTCGAAAATGTGGGCGTATCCTGCCTGGCAGCCGCTGGTTCAATCTTGAAAATGACCCTTCATATCTTTAGACGAGTGATGCGAATAATCGTTAAACTAACAACACTTAGCGGAACATTGTATAGATATGCAATGGTTTCATTTACATCACCATACATACAATTATGTCGTATTCCCTTTAGTAATAGCACATTTCGCCATTGTATAAATGTAAACAATGTTTCGCAGGTAGCCTAGCTTTCGTGTCTGAATATCTGGTATGTCCTTGACCTTATGCTAATATTAATGAGCAAAGTGTTAATTTTAAATACAAATTTTTAATTTTTTAATTTAAACAACTGTGGAATACGATTAATTCATATCAAAATACAAATGAGGTGTCATTTACGGGATTTGATAATATTAAAAAAATAAGTCATGCATGAACTCATTGATGTGAGCAACACTTCCTTTGAGCGGTAATTCGACACAGAAAGGTATGTGGACGGCTAGTCCCTACTCACCGTTTATGTCTAGTTTTTTTTTTACAGCTATGTCCATTATTTATCGTATGTTTGGTTCCAGTAGATGAGCATTAACGTGTTTACAAATCACACTTCCGGTTCGCCGTTCCGACCAACGGAAGACAACAAATAGTCCTCGGAATTATTCAGAATTATAAACAAACTTTCTCTTGTACAGCCAATCAGCACCTGTATAATTTTTATACGCCCACATTTTCATGTGGACATATATTGTCGTCGCTCCTGTCCGTCCGTCCGTCCGTCCACAATTGTTTGTGAACAGTCTACAGGTCACAATTTTTATCCGATTTCAATGAAACTTGAAATATAGGTTTATCACCCTAAGATCTCGGTTGCTTTCGATATTGGCATGTATCGGACTGTAAATTCATAGATTATGTCCCCTGATTGTTTGAAAAATCACGTTTTTAGCTTGTGAACACTGTAGAGGTCACCATTTTTATATGATTTGGTTTAAACTTGAAATGTATGCTTATAACCCAAAGATCTCGGTTCCTTTTGATATTCGCGCATATCGGAACGTAACTTCCTGAATTATGGCCCCGGATTGTCCAAACGTCGCCCCTGTCCGTCCGTCCACAATTGTTAGTGGATACTCTACAGGTCACAATTCTTATCCGATTTTGACGAAACTTGACATATAGGTTTATCTCCAAAAGATCTCGGCTGCTTTTGATATTGGCATGTATCGGATCGAAACTTCATGGATTATGGCCCCTGTTTGTATGAAAAATCACGTTTTTAGCTTGTGGACCCTATAGAGGTCACAATTTTTATCCGATTTTGTTGAAACTTGAAATATAAGATTATAACCCAAAGATCTCGGTTCCTGAATTATGGCCCTTGATTGTACGAAAAATCACAATTTTAGCTTGTGGACCCTATAGAGGTCATAATTTTTATCCGATTTAAAAAACCGTATTATTATATCACCGTTACACCCTAAGGACAGCTGTGTTCTAATTTCGTGAAAATTGACAGACAAAATGGCCGCCGTTCATTCTCAAAAACGTAAAAATA